GTTGGCTGAACGTGCAGTGGCAAGTATTTCATGCATGTTCAGGACGATAACCAATTATCAATAAATACTAAAGGTATGTTCTATAATAGAGGCCGTCCGGGATGAAGGTCGGAAAAATTTTGACTGCCACTGGAAAATGAGGGTATCTAGGATAGGGACAGAAATTGAGCCTGGCAACAGGTCACCTACGGTCCCTTCAAAGAGTTGTAGGAAGGGTTTTTAACGTGAAATGAGCTTGCTACTCTTTATACACGGGGCATCGGATTTAACGTTCTCACTCTGACCGGACGAGTCTGTGTACTTGTACATCCCGTATAGCCAGAGGGACGCCCCACTTTTTTTTTGGCGAGAGTTTTACTGGCGGTCGGAGGAAGACGATATTTCTATCTTTTGACAAGTGTCTGAAGGAGCTCCGACTCATATGAAACAGTACTAGTTATAAAAATATTCCATCTGATCCTCAGAATTCAAGTTTGAAAAGCTGTCTGTCCTAGGTCAGGAATCTGATTACAGTAGTTGTCTGTTTATGTAGTTCATACGTGTTTCTCGTTTTTATATAGATTATACCGTTGGTTTTTCCGTTTGAATGGTTTTACACTAGTAATTTTTTGGAGCCCTTTATAGCTTGCTGTTCGGTGTGAGCCAATGCTCCGTGTTGAAGGCCGTACCTTGACTTAAAATGGTTTACTTGGTAGGAGTGTTGTCTGATTGGCACTCATACCACATCTTCCTATATCTAATTAGCGAATAAAAATCTGTTAAGACTTATTTTTTTCAGTTTTACAGATTTCAAATATTTTTCCAAATAAATTTTGAAATATTAAATTAGTTTGTTTCTTTTCTCATTATTGGTAATACCCATTTATAACACTTTCCCAATCCAATAAAAAAAAAAGCTCCCTAATTATCTTTTATTTATTATATGCAATTTCCCCCAAGGGTGACTGGGGAATAGAAGTAAGGTCACCATTGGTCTTCCTCCGACCGGCAGTAAAACCCTTGCTAAAGAGGGGCGTCCGTTTGGCTGTGCGGGATGTACAAATTTGCAGCCACGTCCGGTCAGAATGGGGACGTTAAATCCGATGCCTCGTGTTAAGAGAGTGCCACACTCTTTGTACGTTAAGAACCCTTTGCAACAACTCTTTGAGGGGTCCGTAGGTGACCTGTTGCAAGGCTAAATTTCTGTCCCTATCCAATATACCCTCATTTCCCGTGGCAGTCTAAATTTCTCCGACCTTAATCCCGGAAGCCCCTATTACAGAACCTACCTATTGTATTTATTGTTAACTTGTTCTCGTCCTGAATATGCATGAAACATTTGCCACTGGACGTTAAGCAACCAACAATCAATCAATTATATGCAATTAAATATTTGCAATGAAATACAACAATACAATAGAACAATAACAATGTTAAAAGTAAAAAAAGTTCCAAGTCTCTTTTGGAGTAATATCTTCTTATAGGGCTTTATCTTTAAATTAGTCTTTAAATAACAAAGTAAAGGTCGAATCCATCTTCATATGGAAAAAAAATCATTGGAAAGAAAGCTGATCTTTAGGTTTCCATGTTTGAAGCTGCCATAAAATCACAAACACCAAACAACCTAATTAATCTTTTAGAACTATACCATTACACTTAGTCGAGGATTCAAAAGATAAATGCACGTTTGAATTTTATTTAAAACAGTGAAGTGCATCTGAACATTTACTAAAAATTGATCGTTATAAACGTGGTAGTCAGCCAACCGACCCTTTTTATAATTTTATCTTCCCCGTGCTGTAACCGACAAGGCAAGCATATCATATTTATCATGTCATGCTTATTAGCGAGGGGTGACTTTTTAGGTTCTTCTTTTCAAAGGGCTCTAGACACATCCAACACTGAAGATATTACTGAGCTCATTCTGAAAAAAAAACCCAAAGGTGTACCGCTATCAATTCCCTGTATTGTATACAAAAAATTATATCCTCTCCCATCCCATATTATGATTGTGTACATGGAAGACCAGCAAAACATATAAGTTTTGTGCAATGCTTTTCAGTTGTTACTTGGAAGATCTAATGACCAATTTGATATGTTGAGTAGTTAAACCAATCAACAAGCTTTGAAGTATAATATTACTCTTCGCAACAGACGAGCCTGGTAGTGTGCTCCCTACACTTTTACGTTAATTATTGTGGATGTACTGGCAACACAAATTGCAAATTTCGTTACATGGCCAACTTCTGAACAAAGGGCAACAATGACAGATCAAAATCAGCAGCACCATTTGTTTTTAGGATGTTTTGTTTATGTTGATGGCTCACACATATCAATCAAAGGAAGGAAAGTAAATTAAGAAAATTTGATCAACAGGATGGGATATTCTTCAGTTTTATTGCATGTGTTTGTAATTGAAACAGTGAATTTGTCCATGTATATACGTAGGGTGACCGGAAGTAATATTACCTGACTATGGAACCCCCGGAAGTAGATTTTCTTCCTAGGGGGGTCCCATAGTGTGTGTGTGTGTGTGTGTATTTGTGTATATGTATTTGTGTATATGTATTTGTGTATATGTATTTGTGTATGTATTTATTTATTTATTTATTTATTTATTTATATGTATTTATTTATTTTTAAATATAAAATAGACTCTGACGTGATTCGAACACGTACCTTCTGATAGAATCAGATGTGCTAACCAGTTGCACCACAGAGACTTTTTTTTTCTTTTTTCTTTTTTCTTTTTTTTTTATTTCTTTTTTTTTTGAAACAAATAATAAATAATTCATATTTACATAAATATAATAATTTTATTAACAATCTTTTTTTTTTTTTTATTTCTTTTTTTTTGAAACAAATAATAAATAATTCATATTTACATAAATATAATAATTTTATTAACAATCTTTTTTGAAACAAAAATAATAAATAATTCATATTTACAAAAATATAATAATTTTACATACATATAATACAACTTTTTTAAATGTCAAAACTATAGTTAAGTTTCTTTTTCAATCCAAGGAATCTTCTTCTTCTATGTTTTTGACGACTCTGTAATTTATTTTTATTTTAATATACATTTTATCATTAAAATTATAATTATAAATAAAGACATAAATATATTTACACAAGGATTCACATTCCTGAAAATTATGACTATGTTGGAAAATATCCTGAGGTAAAATTTTATTGTCCTGATGAAATGTATGAAAATAATAGAGATGATTTTTATAAATGGTATAATGAACAAAAAAATAATATTTTTGATTTTAATAAAGAAATTATAGAATATTGTATAAGTGATGTAAACATTTTAAAATATACAAAATACTAAAAAATCTTGTAATATAGGATATGAAGCAACAAATAAATATGGTTGTAACCAAAACGGTTGTACTAAAGAAGATTTATGTTCAAAATGTTTTAAATGTAGGTATTGTGCTGCTACCTCGTGTGGAAGATTTTTTCATAAACCAAATTTAGTTGTAGCTCACACCATTTGTGATAATTGCAATAAAAATGATAAAACGTGTAATTCTTGTGGAAAAATTTGTGACATTGAGCATATTCCGTGTAATGAGTGTACTTTTTCTAAAGAAATAATTTTTAAAGGAAATAATTGTGCAGAAAATTTTTTCAATTATTTTATAAATAATAGATATAAAGATTTTATATTTATAGCACATAATATGAAAGGATATGATAGTTATTTTTTATTAGAATATTTAGCAAATCAAGGTATAGTTCCTACTGATTGTATACTGAACGGTACTAAATGTCTTTATTTACATGTAGGTAGTGTGAATATTAAATTTCAAGATTCTTTCAATTACCTACCTATGGCTCTTTCTAAGTTACCTAAAGCTTTTGGAATAGAAAATTTAAAAAAAGGTTACTTCCCACATTTATTTAACATTCCTGAAAATTATGACTATGTTGGAAAATATCCTGAGGTAAAATTTTATTGTCCTGATGAAATGTATGAAAATAATAGAGATGATTTTTATAAATGGTATAATGAACAAAAAAATAATATTTTTGATTTTAATAAAGAAATTATAGAATAGCTCCTAGACTAAACATAACAAATTAGAAATAGCTCCTAGACTAATCATAAAAAACAAAATTTCTATTATCGTCTTTAGGTAAATCGTTATTTTTTTGATAACATAAATGATTAGGCTCTTGTATTTGATTACAATTTTTACAACTTATTTTATAACATTCATGATATTTTTTCTCTTTTCTTTCCATTAAATAATTACATTTATTACAACGATAAAATGCTTCACATACAGTTTCTTTTTTATAAATAGTTTTTTTATGTTTTTCTAAACAAATTTCATTTTTACAATTTTGATTACAATTATTACATTTCATTTTATTAATAATTTCTCCACAATTAGTTAAACATATGTTACAATTTTCTTTACAATTATGTTTTGTTTTGTGAGAATAAGGTTGTTTACATTGATTACAAAAATAATTTGATTTAAAAAAACCTGTCATGGAAATTATTGTATCATAATGTTCATCATGTAAATATAAAAAAATAGATTGTGAATAATCATTTCTTGTATATATAAATTTATTACCTATAGTATTTTTTAAAACATTAATATTAACTTTTAAAAAATCTTCAAATTTAGATATATCTGCTATATTTAAAGGTGTTGTAATATCATGAGATACTTTTTTACATAGTTCTTCAGTAGTGTTTTTTAAATGATTTCTTTTTTGTTTATTTTTTATATTTTGACATAATAATTTTTTATAAAACCCATAATTACATATTTTATTAACTAATAAATTATCAAAGGTTGTTAAATCTTTATTTTTTTTTAAATTATAATCTTCTAAAGATGTTTGACATATTTTTGCTAAACCTACTACAATACTTCTATAACCACAACTATTATCTTTATTTTTAATTTCAATTATTGATTTTTTATTTGGTAAATCTCTTTTTAAATTTATTACATTTTTATATTTAGAACCTTGGGGTATATTTACTATACCTATAGTTATATCCATATCTTTATTTATTTGCATTTCTTGATAAGAATTTAAAACTCTTTCAATTTCATTAAAAATAAAATCTGAAGAAATTGAAGAAAGAGGTTGTGGTACTATTATAATATCATTATTTAAATCCGGATGTCTAAGAATTATTTTAATTAAATCATGTTTTTTGTGTTTTTTTTTTTCATTATTTAAAATATTGTCAAATATGTTTTTTATTTTTTCATTTGCTTTTAAAATGGTCTTATCATTCCAACTATCTCCAAATTTCAAATTATAATTTGTTTCTATGATTGTTCCTTTCGCAAAATTTCTTTCATCTTTTTTTTGTAATGTGTACTGGAAAATAAAAAAATAATAAATTAATATTTCTATAATAAACTTACGCTAAGCTCATCTAATTCGTCATCGCTATCATTTTCAGCATATCTATTACCCGTATTACTAATGGCTACAGTTGAAGTTGAAGGAATCTAATAAAATAAAAAAAAATTGAATCAAAAAATTTTTAAAATTTAAAATTGAATCAAAAATTTTTTTTTTAAATTTAAAATTAATTAAAATTTTTTACTTACATCATCTTCATCTATTTTATCTATATTTGATTCTTTTCTGGTTCTTTTTCCCTTTCCTTTCCCCTTTCCTTTTTCTTTTATTGCAGGCATTACTAAGTCTTGTTGTGTATTATTCTAAAAGATAAAAATAAAATCATTTAATTTATATAAAAAGAACGAGTTTTTTATTACTATATGATTGGTCTATTTCGTTTGCGTTTTAAAATAAAAATATACTTACATTCTGTGGTGTTTTTAAATCCTCATCACTCCATTCTTCTCCAAACTTCTTCATAACTTCATCTTCTCCCATACCATCTAATTCTTCATCAGGAATAATAATTTGCATTAACTCCTCATCTGTAACTGCACACAAATCAGACACATACATGAGCATGTTATATGGGAGTTCTTCTTCTTCTTCTTCTTTTCTTTCTATTTCTTCTATTTCTTCTTCTCCTTCTTCTCTTGTTAAATCTATTTCTTCTATTTCTTCTTCTCCTTCTTCTCGAAAACTTGCTAAAAAAAGAAAACAAAAGAAATAAACCTAAGAAATGAACCTCTAGAATCTATATAAATAAAACAACTATAATATTATTTACAATATAAAAAAAATAAAAAAACCTATAATGGCAACTTTGTTAAATGAAAACTTTCTTGAAACCTCTCTTCCTCAAGTTTTACAATTTTTTGATTGTCATCAAAATAATATAGCAATTGAACAGGAATTTTATGAATCAATAGCTACAAAAACAGAAACTCCTAAATTAGAAGATACCTTAATTTTTGATATATTAGGTAATGAAAATTATATAGATTTAAATAATTGTTATATGACAATAGATGTAAAAATAGTTAAAGTTAAAAATGGAACATATGAAAAAATTGAAACTTCAGATGTAGTTTGGGTAGCTGATAACCCTTTAGAAACTTTAATTTCTGAAATAGCAGTTAGCTTAAATGGACAAATAATAGAAAATTATGTTACAGATGCCCAATATACTTTACAAACAAATAAATTAACATTACCTTTTACAAATAGTTATTTAAATAAAGCTGTTAATAGTGATAATTTAGGAGGTGATAACAGATATCATACTTGTAAAGATATTATAGACAATAGTAAAAATGAAAAATTTACAACTTTAGCAGATAAATTAAATTTAGGATTTTTTGACATTAATAAATATTTATTATCTCAAGTACGATTAAAATTAAAAGTAAGATTAAATAATAAAGATAAAATTTTATATAAAGAAGGTCAACATACTTTTAATTTATTAGTAAAAAATCCTATTTTTCATGTTAAAAGAGTAAGAATACATGGTGATGTAGTTTTAAATATAGAAAATCATTTACTTAAAAATAATGCTGTTTATTGTTATAAAAATCCTATTACCAGAACTGTTTTTTGTAATAAAGGATTAAGAAATTATATATATCAAGATATATTTCAAGAAGAAGTACCTAAATTAATAAATATTTTTGTTGTAAAAGGCGAACATTATAAAGACAATCAAGAAAAAGATTCTTTTAGATTAAATACTAAAATTATAAAAGCTTTAAAAATGTATATAAATGGAAAAATTTTAAATAATTTAACATATGATTTTGAAGATTATAAAAATCAGTATTCTCCATTTTCTAATTATGACAAAAGTTCAAGCGGAAATGAATATATATTAACCTTTTCAATATTACCTAATATGGATCATTTCTTAGAGAAAAAAAACGGTTTATTTACATTAGATATTACTTTTACCGAGGCATTAAGGGAAGATAATGTTATTTTTATTATAGGTTATTTTGATAACATGCTTGAAATAGATTACAATCGTAATGTTAGAAGAATAAAGAACCTTACTTAAAGGTATATAAATAACTAAGTTGATCACTTTTTTCATAAAATATAAAAAATGGCTACTTTTTTAAATGAAAATTTTATTTCAACAAAAATTCCTGATGAATTACAATTATTTAAATGTAATGATAATCAGTTAGCTATTGAAGAAGAATTTAATCAAACAATAAAACCTAATACAAATGTTAGTTTTAATTCAGATATAACATTTAATTTTAATACTGGAAATTTATTATTTTGTCCTTTCAAATCATATTTTCATTTATCTTTCAAAGTAGCAAAACCTGTTTCTCAAAGTAACCCAACATCTGTAGTTGCAGGAGATAAAGTATCAGTAATTGATTTTCCTTTGAATACTTTTTTTAAACAATGTGAAATTTATATTAATGGAACTTTATTAACAACTACTAGTCCGTATTTTCATATAGAAAGTTATATTCAAAAAATGATTACAGGAGGTAAAAACACAGATGATAGTACAGGATTTTATGGTTATAATAACAGTGCTTGGGATTCTAACGATCCAGTTAAAAAATTACTTATAAATAAAACGACACATTTTTATGGACCGTTATATTCTCCATTTTTTTTTGTAAACAAATATTTACCTTCTAATTTAAATATTGAAATACGTTTACATTTAAATAATGAAAAATTTATATTTTTTGAAGAGGGAACTGTACATCCTCTGATAAAAATAGCTAATTTAGAATTTAATGCTGCAATGGTTAAAATACATGATCCTGTACAATTAGCTTTAGAAACGGAAATGATAAAACAACCTGCTATATATTGTTCACATGATTTTTATACAAAAACACAAGTAGTACCAAATGCTACAAGTTTAATTAACATTTTTAATATTTTTGATTATTGTCCAAAATATTTATTTATATTTTGTGTTAAAACAGAAGATATTACTAATGATACTGCAAAAAATCCTTTTGCATATCAAAATATGAACATAAGTGAAATAAATTTATATATAAATGGACTTTTAAAAGATGGAGATACAAAAAGATATGATACAAAAAATAGAGAAAATTCTCTAATATTAGCACAAATTATGAAAAATGAATATGATATAAAAAAAAAATAATATAAAATTAGTTAATTTAAAAGAAACAACAAGTGACGAAGAAGCTCCTTTATATTCTTTTATTTTGAAACCACATTTAACAGAAAAACATATAAATTTAAAAAAACAAGAAAAAATATCTTTAGAAATAAAATTACATACACAAACAGCTACTGAATATTTACTATATATAGTAGGATATTTTGAAAATATGTTTGAAATTACAAAAGAACGTGTAGTAACTAAATATAATCAATTAACTTAAACATGTTTAAATTTAGATCTCCATGTACATGTTATTTAGCAGGTTCAACTCAAACAGGAAAAACAACTTTTATGTTTAAACTTATAAAATATAAAAAACAATTATTTAAAAAAAATCCTAATAAAATTATATATTGTTATAGTGTTTATCAACCTGTTTTTAACCAATACAAAAAAGATGTAACCTTTCATCAAGGTCTAATAAATTTAGAAGATTTAAATAAAATGTCTTTAAACCAAAAACATACTTTATTAATATTAGATGATTTATTATTAGATATTGTTAATTCAAAAGAAATGGTACATTTATTTTGCACTGTATCTCATCATAAAAATATAAGTGTTTTCTTTTTATCTCAAAGTTTATATCCTAGTGGTAAATATTCAGTAATATTAAATAGACAAATGTGCTATATGATTTTATTTAGAAATTTAAGAGATTCGAAACAAATAACAGTATTAGCAAGCCAAATATACCCTAAGAAAACATATAAATTAACGGAAGCTTATAACTTAGCAACTAAAAATAAATCATATGGATATTTATTAATAGATTTAAATCCTTGTACTATAGATGAATATAGATTAAGAAGTAATATTTTTCCTAATGAAAAATTAACCATATATAAAGAATAAATGTCTATTAGTTTACCCATTACTTCTTATAAATATAATGTGATAGGGGTAGAAGAAAAAAATAACAAATTAAAAGAAACTGTAAATAGAATTAAAAATAGAAATAATATTGAAAATACCAGCACCAGAATTAAAAATAAAATAAAGCTTTTTTTTACAATATTAAAAAATATTAAAAACGAGATACAAGGATTATTTAAATGTACGAAGCCTTGAGTTATAACAGTATTACTTTTTATCGTAAATTAATAAAAAACAAAATAAATATAGAAGATATTACAGATGAACAAATTTTATTATTAAAAGAAATAGCCGTAAATTATAAGGAAAATAATATAGAATTAACAGAAAAAGAAATTAATAATTTATTAATACATAAAGAAAAAATTTTATTTTTAGCTAAATCTTCAATTAAAATAATACGTAAAAATTTTTCAAAATTGACAGAAAATAGTTTTATTAAATATTTCTTAAAACCTTTATTATGAATTCAGTTAAAGAAATGATTTTAATTCCAAAGGAAGAATATGACAGTTTACAAAATAAAGGATTTTCTACAAAAACAAATAAAAAAAATAAATCAACCCCTTTTAAAATAACGGAAATACAAGGTAAAAATGATGATAATTTAAATGAGTTGATTCTGGATTTACCAAAACAACATAGAACAAAAGCAAAAGGTTTATTAAGATGGATTCAAAAACATTCGGATAATAATTTTTATATTGATGAGGATTTTTTAGTTAATATGGATGGTAATGTAAAAGAACATATTTTAGATTATTTACGTTATGTTTCAAGTCCCTTTGTTTTAAAAAATAAGCCTAAGAGTTTAAATATATTTTATAAAAAACTTAAAGAAAAAAATGTTCCTAGTTTATATTTACCTATTAAAAAACCGTTTCCTTTTTTAAATTCAACAAAACCAAAAATAAAAAAATGGATAAAAATAAGAGAAAAAAATACACGACCATAAATGAAAAAAAGGATTGAACATGTTTTTTAAGTGACCAATCATATTAAGTATTTTAAGTAACCAATCAGTGAAAAGTTTTTAAACCAATCAGTAAAAAGTGCTTTCTATCACGTCCGCTTTAATTATATATAAAAAATTAAAAAAAATATAATAGTATTATATAAAAAAACTTTTTTGATGATGTCTACACCCTTAGTAGGAGATAAAGTATCCTTGGAAGATCATTCAGCAGTAGTTAAACAGTTACGTTTTAATTGTGACGAATGTGATAAAGATTATACCAGAAAATTTCGTTTAAAACAACATAAATTAGCAAAGCATACAAAACAACTGGCAACACCTTTTATAAATTCAGTACCTTCAAACAGTCCTTTGATGTACAAAGATATAAGAGAAGAAGAAGAATCAACTGACAGTGAAGATATTGAAATGAAAATTCCAGAAGAAGAAAAACAAGGTCTTTTTACTAAAGACATAAATACAGTTGAATATGTACCTTATGTATACGATACTGAAGTAATATATCGTATAAGTGAAAGAACATGTTTTCGTTTAAGTAAAAAAGGTTTAATAAGACAATTGCAAAAAAACATACATACTTTAAAACTTTACCCAAGTCAACTAAAGAAAATAATAGAATTACAAGATCCAGTTACTAGTTGTATTACAGATTTTAGAAATGAAAAACCGGTTAAATATCTACAAGATTTAGGAGAATTTATTATGTTAGGAGTACAAACACCTTACAGATGTGTGGATGTTAGACAATTTTTTCAAGTAGCAGAAAATACGGAACAATTATTTCCTACCAAACAAGGAATTCCTTTAGATTTTAATGAATATTACCAATTCATTAACTTATTACAATATTTATTTCAAAATAATTTAATTTAAACAAAAGTTATTTTTATTTTAAAAAACAAAAGTTATTTTTATTTTTATTGTTGTTAATAAAATTATTGTTATTTTTATTGTTATTAAAAAAAAAGAAAAAAAAAGAAAAAAGAAAAAAAAGAAAAAAAAGAAAAAAAAAGAAAAAAAAAGAAAAAAAGAAAAAAATAATGCAGCTAAACTTAATTTAAAACAAAAAAACTTATTTTAAATTATGTTTACAGGTCACAAGCCCTTAATGCAGAGTGTTTTTTTGTTCCGGAATTTTTTTTTACAAAAAACTGAATTCTTTATTTAAAATCATTAAAGATATTATTATAATTATTATATTTATTTTATTTTATTGTTATTTACTATTTTTATATAATAAAATTCATTTACATACATCAAAAAACAAATATAAAAGAAGAGCTTACCTTTTCACATGTGGTTTCCACTGAATCAAATTTTGAATTGAATGTTGTTATCTATAACGTTACGTGACGTTACCTTAACGTTACGTGACGTTAACGTTACGTTACCCCGCCAAAACGTTAACATAACATAATAAACGCGGGAAAACTATTTTTTAACGTAATGTATTATTATTAAAATGTTTATAACTTTTTTTTTAACAGATGGATTTTTAAAATTTTAAAAGCATTGGAAAGCTGAATATGTAAGATATCTTTTAATTATAAAATGTCTCGATAAAATATTTTTCATAAAAAAGTTATTAACTCAGGTAAGTAAATAAAATTTTAAAAAAATGTAAAAATTTTAAAAAATTTTAAAAAATAAAAAATTTTTAATGCAACTAATGTTATTTTTTATAACATTACGGGTCACAAGTCCCTAATGCAGAGTGAACATTTTTTAAATAAATAAATAAATAAATAAATAAATAAATAATACACAAATACATATACACAAATACACACACACACACACACACCCACACACTCAAGTAATATTACCTGAGCTATGGAACCCCCCTAGGAAGGAGATTTTTTCCGCGCGCATGCGCGGAAAAAATCTACTTCCGGGGGTTCCATAGTCAGGTAATATTACTTGACCGGGGTCCATCCATGATGCCAGGATATTTCGGAACAGTGAATTGCTTGCAGCTGTTCCTAAGTATCTGCACATTCTTAGAGACTCGGATTACCCTTTGTCCCATGCTTTGATTACACCATTCAAAGTTCAGTCCAGAAGAAGTATAATGTTGTCCATAGGGCTGCAAGACCGGTCAAAGAGAGAAGTTTTGCATTGCTGAAAGGGAAATTCCGCAGATTGAAGTACCTGGACATGTCTTTAGATATGACAATACCACAAGAAATCACATCATGTGTTGCATTGGATAACCAACTTCATATTGAAAAATGAAAAATTTAGACTACTGGTGCACTAATTCCTTACATTGCAAACGAAACTCCGGTTTCGTCATTGCTTTATGGGGGAAACTGAAGAACAAGAGGACTGTTCAGAAAATATTATAGTCTATTTTTCAAAGATGAAGGATTTAAAGTTGCAGAAATAAATCAAACAAAAAAAATTGCTATTTCAAAGCGCATGGGCACATGCATTTCTCTTCGTGCTATTTGTGAGAAATACCATTTTGATACAATGCCATGTAAAGTCTACACAGAATGTCAAAAAAAATCAAAATAAAAAAAAAAATCAGAGGACCAGCTGCTGGCTACCTCCATGAAGTAATGACGCTTGCCGTTTTAAAAACTAAAATGGGAGGAACAGACCTTCACATGGCCATAGCATGCATAAATATCAGTGTGCCAAATTTGCAGCTTATATCAACTTATGTCAATAAACAAAATGTTTGAGCTGAACGAAGAGACAATAATAAAAAATGAGAGACATGTGCAAGAATTTAATAACTGTATTGGTAAGGGAAATGAAGTTGATGTGAAAACTGACACAGCCTGTAACAACAGGAAGCAAGTTGGATATGGAGCTGGTACACAGTCCTTTTACCCACTAATTGAAAAAAAGACACTTGACTAAATCTTCTAAATAATGTCTACAGCAAACAAATTTTGTAGTAAGACAACTTCCAATTCAGAATATACAATTTCTTCCAGTGAAGGAAAACTTGCCGAACAAAATTTGCAAATAGTAAACAAAAAGTAAATAATCTTAAGGTTTAAAAAGTCAAATCAGTGACTATGAAATCAATGTAAACAATTAAAATGTGAAACCAGCTTAACTGTTTTTTCCTTTCTTTTCTTACCTCAAAATATAGTTTTTAAAACCATTATGTCCTTGACATGTACTAAAAGGTTTACACTGGTTTCTCTCTTATATTTATATTAATAGGTTCCAATGATAAATGATCAAAATTTTAACATTTCTTCCTGTGATATAAATGTGAAACATGGTGACTGATATTAGAAACTTACTGCCGATTGACGGTGGCAATTTTTCAAATTAGCATATGTTATGGCTAATGGATCAATATCAACAAAATGTCTTCAAAAGAGTTAAGTCTATTAGATCAACATCAAAGTAGCAGAGGCTAACGGATCAAGTGAAATGTCAAAAAAATGTATGCAAAAGAGGTAGGCCGATTGGATCAACATCAAAGAAAAAGTAGCAGAGCCTAACGGATCAAGTGAAATGTGTGCTAAAAAGGTAGGCCCATTAAATCAACATCAAAGAAAAAGTAGCACAGGATAACGGATGAATTGAAATGTCAACAAAATGTGTACAAAAGAGGTAGGCCGATTGGATCAACATCAAAGAAAAAGAAGCAGAGGCTAAGAGATCAAGTAAATTGTCAAAAAAACAAGCATGTGTCTTTACTGTCATATAATGACAATTTGAAGGTACATCCATTATATTTGTGTATTTACAAATATAACAGGTTTATCTTCAGCAATGCTGCAGTAAATTGAAAGAAATTAATGTGTTATGACTTCTTCAAATACGAAATATTTTGAATAAATTAACAAAATGCATACAGAAACTTCTATTTATAGTCTGTAAATGTTGTATAGATAAATTTGGCCAGTTCATATATAATTTTCGGTAGCAGTAAAAATAATCACCCAGTAAAAGTCTGTTATGAACGTGTTTTTATACTTTGATAGTTTTGTTTGGCCGAAAATATTATTCACGTCAAATTTGACAGTTTCCTATTTTGCGTTACTAAATTCA